GAAGTGCTCCCCACAACTGCCAGAACTGAGTATCCTCTAGAAGTGCTCCCCACAACTGCCAGAACTGAGTATCCTCTAGAAGTGCTCCCCACAACTGCCAGAACTGAGTATCCTCTGGAAGTGCTCCCCACAACTGCCAGAAACTGAGTATCCTCTAGAAGTGCTCCCCACAACTGCCAGAAACTGAGTATCCTCTAGAAGTGCTCCCCACAACTGCCAGAACGGAGGAGCTGAGTCCTCGCTTGCTCCGGTGCCTCTAACCCTCTGCAGAAGTGTCTTCTTCAGGCCCCTTAGGAGTTTAATCAAAGGCCACAAGTGAGTCCAGACCAATCAAATAAATTTTTAAGGGGGCAGAAAAGGGTAGAGAGGTGAGTGGCAGAGTCGGAGAGGGCTTGGTGCACCCAATAGATTTTGTTGCTTTTCGCATTGCTCCTGGCATGACATGCCATCCTTTGGGGGTTGGAAGGGGGGCTGGCTGCGGGAGGGGAGGGAGCGTCTAGGGAGTGTTCTGTCGTCCACTCCCCTTTTCTCCCTCGGGGAAGGATCAAGTTAGGCAAGAACTTAGTGGGTTCCGGGAGGCATGAGTGGAGGTGACTGTTGTTGGGTTTTCCATCTGGGCGAGTGAGCCCCGAGCGGCTCGGCCAGTGCCTTGTCTGGCACTCAGTCACCTCCACTCAGATTCCAGGAGACTCCTCAGGACACCAAACCCCCACCCTTGGTGAAGTCTTGATTTAAAGAAGAGGTTGGGGAGGACATGGGGGCAATGGTCTGACTTAGATTTGTGTGTCTCAGAGAAGAGAGCCGACTCTGCAACTCTGAGGGAGAACAGCCCTTCATATGTAAACAATCTAGAGAAAGAAGGGGTTGGTGAGGGGGGGCGGAGAACAGGGGAGACCAGAAACAGGTCCAGAGTAAATGAGACCATCTCAAAGAAGAGAGGGAACCGGGAAGCAAGAGACCAAAATAAAGGAGGAAAGGAAAGAGGAAACCCAACTAGTAGGGGAAGAGAAAAAGGCAGGTCAGAGTGGGTGGAGAGGCAGGCAACCAGAGCCAGGAGGAGCCAGGCTGTGCCTCAGGTGAGGAGCTGGGAGAACAGGAACGCCAGGCTGAGGTCCAGCAAGGCCACGGCTCCCACCACCAGGGGGTTGGCAGCTCCCTACAGAGACAGAGGGTGAAGTGGGTTCAGTCCTTGAAGCCAACTGCTAGGTCCCACCTCCACGTCCTGGCTTTAGTGACAAGGCCGAAGGGTCCCCGAAACCTCCCTGCACAGGTAAGGGCAGAGGAGCCCACCCCCATTTCAGATTATGGAGCACCACCCTTCTTCCTCCACGGGGGCCCTGTCTTCCTCCACAGGGCCCCGCCCTCACACTGGGAAGACAGACAGCAGCGCTTCCTCCCACCTCCCACCCCCACCCCCAGCGCTCTCCCCCATCCTCAGCAGAGCATGTGGGCAAAGCAGAAGGTGCCTGGCCTTAGGAGCAGACATTGGCAGCAGCAGCGGCCAGTACTGCAGTAAGGCTGAGGGAGGATGTGGTTGCTAGGAGATGGGAGAAGGCCTGGAATCCAATCAGAGCAGAGGGTTCTGGAGAGACTCTCCGCCTGCCTCTCCCGATTTTCTGCCTCCCCCCACCCCCACCCCCATTCCCTTCTTCCCAGGAGAGGGAGGGAGAATGAGGGTTGGGAGGAACAAGTTTTTCCTATTTCTGGGCACCAAAGAGAGAAAGTATGGGGGTGGGGGTGGGGGTGGGGGTGGAGCAGGAAACTGGGACTGGAAATGATATGGAAGGAGACCAGGAAAAAGTGTTCCGATTCTACCACTAATTCTTAGTTTGCAGCTAGGGGCAGGTTACTGACGTGCCCGGGGTCTGTCCCCTAGCTGTCCTCGGGGAGGGCTGCACTTGAAGGTCTCCAAGGTTCCTTTGAGCTGGAAAGTTATCTTTTTCATAAAGTGGGATATGGCCCAAGACTGGCCAGGAAGGCAGAGAGGAAGCTGGGTGGAAATGGAAGTCCCTCAGGGGATTATACAGAAGTCTGGAAGGGGTGGGGGGCAGGGCATTGAAAACAAGAGGGCATAAAGGGGGGGCTCACCGGCTGGGCAGGCCTCTCGGTGGCAGCAGGCTCCTCAGATTCTTCTGTCAGGCACCCAGCATCAGGACCCCTTGAAGACAGGCCCCTCAAAACTGGCGTGGTGACAGGCTCAGACTCTGAGCCCCCTGGAGCCCTCAGCGGGGGCAAAGACTCTTCATCTTCCCCCTCTTCCTCTCGAAGACTTCCGGAACTGTCACTGCAGCCTCCAAGGAGTGGGGAGCCGTCTCTGGGTCCTGGACCCTGCGTCCCCGCCTCATCCTCAGCCTCATAGCCGGCTAGTTCCTCTGCCTGCTCCCCAGGACCTCCCCACTCCTCGGGCCAAGCTTTAGGGCTGGAGAAGGGACCCCAGTCCCCTCCAGGAGACAGTGGGTTCCGGCAGGCAGGGGCTCGCCAAGGTTGGTGGGAGGGGGCAGGGCTGCTGGGCAGTTCCGGAGAGCCCTCTGAGGGAGTCAGTCCGTTCTCGTATACCCCAGGGCTGTCCTCATCCAAAGGCTCTGTGTCAGAACCTCCTGAATCATGTCTGGGTCTGCGGCCTGGGCAGGAACAGCTAGGAATCAGTGGGGCTTAACTGGCCAGGAGCCAGAGAGGCCTGCAGCTTATTCCTTGGTTAGTACTTTCCAGGGGTTCTGGTTACCTCCGGGTTCATAGTTTCTCATCACCAGACCCCAAAACCTTCCCTTACCACGCCTCAGACATTCTGGGTTCCACCTCTAAGACACCCTCCAGGCCCTTTTATCTTCCACCCTCCCCCATCTCCATGCCCCCCCCCCTCTCCAGCTCCCCAGGGAACAGGAAGCCCCCGCCTCACCTGGGGCCTCTAGCATGGGTTGCAGGTCCTGGGCTATCAGTTTGGCCATCCTTGCCGCTTCCACAGCCTTCTCGGCGATGCTGCTGGCTGCCACTGCTTTTAGGAGGGCGTCTGCTGCCCTGTTGGGTCCCAGGGACAGGGACTCGTCTGACTTTTCCCCCCACATCAGTGTACATCCATGCTCTGATGCTCCAGCCCCTTACCCTGTCCCCCACCACACCACGTCTGTCGGAGGGAGCTACCTCCGGAGTCCTCAGCCCTCTGCTCAAGGCCAGCTGCTGCCCATCTTCAGCGGGCCAGGGCAGCTCCCCGACTGGTGTCTCCACTTAATCCCGGGCTGTACACCGTCCACACCCTCCTCTCACACCCTTCTACCTTTCCGTCCTGTAGTAACACCTCATACTTCCCACTGCAGGGTCAGCTCCCCTCTCAAGTCTATTGCTGTCCTGATCCTGCCTAATGAGCCTGGGCTGTCATGGCCGCTCCACGGCCCTGTTGTTAGAACCTCTGGATCTTCCCAGCCTCTCCTGCCCCCTAGGGTCAGACACCTTTCTACGGGATGCAAGGCACTGTCCAGGACCCTTATCCTGCTCTAATAGTGGTGACACCCCCGACCCTGTTCACCCATCCCTTCCTCTTCTCTCTCCCATTTCCCGCTGCAGGACCACTTTCTTTAACCCTGCTTCAAACCAGTCTAGGGTCCCTGGCAGGAAAAGTTTGCATCTTGCTTTCGTCTGGCCTCTTCTGGCCTCACACTCTTCTGTTTCCGGCACCGCCTCTCCCCACCCCCCACCCCCCTTCCCTGCTGATGTGCAGGCTCTCTCACCCCGGCAGCTACACCTCTGTAAATTCAGCCTGCCTCCTGTGCTCCACTGGCTCCCTAGCCTGCGCCTCATGTTCGGCTCACTTTGCTGTCAGTCCTTGCTCTGTTCCTGTTTCTCAGTGCTCTGCTTTCAGATGCCTCCTCAGTTCTCCCTTCATTTCACCCTCTGCTGCTGGGTGGTTTAGAATCACCCAGCTGCCTCTGTAATTCGGACTGAAGTAAAGCACAGAGGAGCAGAACTGATCAGATGTACTTGATATGGGTCTGGCTGGTTAAGACTCAGGATTCTTTGGTCATCGGTTTTGTTTTGCTTTGTTTTTTCATCTAAGAAAGGCAGGCTGTATCTGGTGGTTGGTGACGCCCACTATAAATCTAGGTGAACCTATTGTGTACCTTGGGCATATGGTCAGCTTCCTTCCTTCAAAGCGGGTGGGTTAAGGAATTCAGAGCTTACTTGGAGGGACATTCAGGGTTTTCAGAATGTTTATGACTAACCCTGTTCTGGTGCTGAGCTGGGTTCCGAGCAGCTCTGAGGGTCATTCACCCTTGGGTCGCACTGAGTTATGTAGATGGCCATGAAAATGACAATAACCTGTGGCTCTTGACATGGAGGGTGTGGATTATCAAGCCCAGGCAGTAGACTTAGTCTGTGCTCAGGCATCAAGCCAGACTCAAGCTACCTGGCAGATGTACCTGCTGCTGAGGCTCTGTTGTTACCATGGCAGCCAGCAGCCAATCAGGGTTGCCAGGCCTGTTGCTGGGGAGACAGCCAGCTTCTTCCCACTGCCTGATCTTCTAGTTAGTGAGATCAGTGTTTTTTCCCCCCCTGCACATGCCTCCACCCTATCTAGCTCAAAATGTTCCATGATGCTCTGACCTCCCTCTGCCCTATCTTAAGGCCCCAGCTTCTAGTACCCATACACTCAGACACATCTATAGATGCATATTCTCATCCAGTCATCTACTCAGGATGTTCATACATGTTCATACTTAATCACGTTCACACATGTGCACACCAACAACAACTTGCCTATTACATAAATTCACTGATACATATTTGGGCATATCCTGATCACTGGCCCTCTGAAGTATCCTCATCCCCTTTAAAGGAAACAATACATACACATTCAAATGCGTGTGAACTATATAGAGCAAGGGTCTTTTGAGTCTCATTCCAAATGAATTTTGGTTATTTTTAGATCTGTGCTATCTAATTCAGCAGTCAGAATCCATAGAATTATTAAGCACTCAAAATGTGGCTGATCTCAAAAAGGACTGATGTGCTGTTAAGTGAAAAATGTACGCACCATTTTAAAGAATCCAGAAGGAATATAAATTATATTAAATTGAAAGGATAAAATTTTGGAAATATGGCTTAAATACAAATATATTATTAAAATTCATTTAACTTGTCTCTTAATCTTTATTTATTTATTTATTTACTGAGACAGGGTTTCTTTGTGTAGTCCTGGCTGTTCTGTAACTTGCTCTGTAGACCAGGCTGGCCTCAAACGCCTGCCTCTGCCTCCTGAATGCTGGGGCTAAAGGTGTGCGCCACCACACCTGGCTTACGTTATATTCTCATTGGTCATCACTGCTTTAGATAACAAGGCTCCGATGCATGGAAATGTAATCTGATTTACTAAAAGAAAAAAAAAATCTTCTCTAGAGGCAAGACTCCTCCCTTCAAACCTAAGCAAAATGAGCCAGAGAAAGAAAAGCTGTATAGAGAATGGATTTCAGCTGCAAACACTAGATAGACCTCAAGGGCCAAGGCTGAAATAAAACCAGTCTGGGAGCTAGTGAGGAAGGGACTACAGTGTTTGGTCCAGGATGGATGCTCCTAGCCTGAGGCCTGAAGGCTGGGTGAGCTGAGCAAGAGGAAGACCAGGGAAACCCAGAGGTTTTGGGGCCTGCACAAAGCAGCATTCTTCCTACCAGCTACACCATGGATTCCATAGACACACATCTCTACAAAACACACTGGGGAGCGGTCTCACTACCTCCCTCCAACGCTCAGCCACCCAAAGTTACTCCCACACCCGCCTACAGCCTCAGGTCTAAACATTTCCAACTCGTAGAGCTACAACTACCTGGACGTAGGCCTGCTCATGCTTTCCCACCAGGCTGCAGGCCTTCGCTTTCGGCTCACTTTTAAGCATAGTACCCAGACGGTCCTCTCCTTTTAAAGCCCTGCTTTGATCTATGCACCAGATGCCCACCTGGCAGCCGCGACTTCCTGGCGCTGGCGGGCAACACTCACAGCTCGACGGGCACCTTCGACAGCCCTGTCCACCTTCTCCTTGACTTTGCCCCGTCTAAGGGCCAGAGGCAGGAGGCTGCGGACACGTCCGCCGTGCACCAGCCGGTTGCGCTTGTACTTGCCCTCCTCACGGGAGCCATCGGGCCGGGTGGTGCGCCCATATCCGTGCCTTCGGTTGCCCAGCCACTCGCCTTCGTAACGCAGCCCGTTGGACCTCTGGCTCACTCCGTAGCCACTGCGCCGGTCTGCGCGCCACTCACCAGCGTACACCTCAGTGGCCGAGCCCTCGATGAGGGCAGGTGGCGCTGGGATAGGGGGCCCACTGGCCTCGGAGCCCAGGGGTCCTGTACTGCCCACTTCGCTGCTCACCTCGCTGCGTAGAGATCCCCTCTTGCTGCCCAGGGAGCTGCGGCGCCCACCAGCCCGGAGCCCGCTGAGCAGCAGTGAACGGCGGAAGAATCCACCTGCTGCTGGGGTGCGCTTACGGGAGGCCGCCCCATCGGCGTCCCCGGGCCCCGCCAGCACGAAGCCGCCTCGGGAGCCGGAGGCTGGGCTACCTCCTTCATCTCCTGGTAGGGGTAGGGGCGGAGGCGGCGTCGGGGGGTCGCTGTGGCCCGAGTCCAGAGAGGTACGGCGGGGTGAGCGCAGAAGCGCCGCCTGGTGGTAGGGTACACTCTGGCGCACCCCGAAGCCGTGGCGCTTCCCGGCCTGCCACTGGCCTTGGTAGGTGCCTGTGGATGTACAGGAGTGAAAAGAGTCAGAACACTTCACTGGGCTCCCAAACCCAGCAATCCGTGGTCCCCGAGCCCTTGGAAGCCCAAGGGACAGGTGAGAGTGGCGGTAGCAGTTAGTGTAGAGGGGTGGGAAGGGACAGGACTTGGCTGGTAAGCGTGGAAGAGCAGATGCAGTCAGGTAGGTAGCATAAAAGATGTGGATTTTGGCAGGTGTCAGTGGACTGGGGAAAGGCAGAGAAACCGGCAGGCTGGGGTGTATGAAGGACAGGTGGCCCAGAGGCTGTGATGCACAGGCTGACAGGTGGTGGTGTGTAAAAACAAGGCACGTGACAGGCCAACAGGACGGCAGGGTACAAGCTGACGGGAAGAATACACGTTGGGTGGAGAGGGGTCAGGCAGGTAGAGGGGGCAGGTGGGAGGGGCAGGCAGATTGGGGTGGGGGAGAAGCATGCAGGAGACTGTCAAACGAGGAAGTTATGGGTATGGTGGTGGTGGTGGTGGTGGTGGGAGAGGCAGGAAGATGGGGGCTGGGGTCCTGGGCTGGGGGATGGTGTGAGGGACACACGGGAACACTGGAAACAGAAGGCTGGCGCACCGCACGCCTATGGCTGGGGAAGGAGGATGGAGGATGGAGGATGGGAATAGCAGGGCGTGGAGGGCGGAAGCCTGGGGAAGACACACGCGCCGCAGGCCGGCGGGAGGCGCACGCGGACGGGGCAGGGAGTAGTGGGCCGGGCCCCGCACCTCCATCGGAATAGGTCTCGGTGCCGTAGCCGTCCTGGAAGCCGTCCTTCCAGAGCCCGGCGTAGCGCAGGCCGGACACGCTCTCCCACACGCCGCTGCGCCCCTTCAGCCCGCCCAGCCACTCGCCGCGGTAGGTCCAGCGGCTCTTGCGCTCCACGCCCAGCCCTTCGCGCTTGCCCTGCTGCCAGTGGCCCTGGTAGCTGTGTCCGCCGGGCCCCGTGAAGACACCCAGCGACTCGAAGCCGTGCGCCCAGCAGCCGCTGTACTCTCCCTGGGCGCCGGGCCCGGTGCACACGCCGTAGCCATGTGCCCGCCCCGCCTCCCAGCCCCCCACGTAGCAGCCCCCGTCGTCAAAGTCGAACTTGCCCCCGGGGGACATGCATGTAGTTGGCGCGGCCTCAGCCCCCCGGCGGCTCAGCGCATCCTGGGGCTGGAGAGCCGGCTGGGGGCCTGGGGGCCGGGCGAGGCCTGGGGGCGGGGGCAGTTAGACCGGGGCTGGGCGGAGGGGCCCCAGCGCGGGCAGGCAGGGCCGGACCCTCATCCTGAGTGGCTGTGGAGAAAGAGGGGTGCAAGTAGAAAGCGAGGCAAGTGGAGAGCGAGGTCCCCTTCTTGGCCTGCCGCTCCCCTGCCGGTGGCTCTAGGGCATCAGCACCGCCTTCCAGCCCTCCTCCCATCCCCCCTGAGCAGCATCTTTCAGCAGCTCCCAAGCGGTGAGGGCAAGGGGGCTTTCCCATCCCTCCCAACTTGTAGAGGGCGCCTCCCGGGACTTGGGGGGTCCCATCCCTCATCCCGAGTCCCACTTCCCCAACCTAGAACCCCAGAGTGTGGAGTGTGGATGGCAGTTGGGAGGTGGGGGACTTGGGAGGGGCCCGGGCAGGGTCTCCCGACACCTGCTTTCCTGGCTCTTTGGACCCCTCTGCCTTGATTCTTTGGCTTCGCTAGCAAACCCGGGTGCGGGGGAGGCGGGAGGTAAAAATGTAGCTGGAAATCCGGACCCAGGTGGGCCGACGATAGAATGGGGATGGGGGGCGGGGGACGACGAGGGTAGGGGTGGGCAGACTGGCGAAAGGGAGGGGACAGGTTACTCACCATGTGGGCTGGGGCTCAGGCTGCCTCCCGGGCGCAGTTTCCATGGCAGGTTCTTCACTCACACCTCACCAGGACAAGCCAAGCCCCCTTCCCTTCCGGAAAGACTGCCACAGCCCGAGAAGGGAGGTGGGGGAGCTATGGGAGAGTCCCCTCTCTCTCCTCGGCCGAAGGTGCAGGCTAGTGTTGGGGGGTGAGGCAGTGGCTGGGTGCGGGGTGAGAATGAGTGTAGGGGGGGAAAAATCTGCCTTGAACGGAGACAGCCAAGAGGAGCTGGGAGCTGGATGGGAAAGAGGAGGGGGGCTATCAAGAGGGGGTGTTTTTATTTTTTTTCTTCTTATGGTTGGGAGAGGAAAAAAAAAATCAAAATTCCAATTCCATCCCAGCACAAATCAATGTTTGCTCCAAACCCAGCATCAAGGGGGAGGCTGGGCCAGGCGGATTTAAAGGGGCAGAGAGGAGCGGAGAGGAGGAGAGGGTGGGGAGGAGAGTCAGTGGCGATGATCAGGCTGGCGAGAGGATGCCCCGGCAGGAAAAAAATGGGGGCTCACTACCCCTGAGGTGAGGAAGAAGGCAGGTGGAGAGGAGAACGGGAGGCTCAGAGACCCCCACGGTGGAAAGAAACCCTGGCATGCAAGCAGGGAGTGGAGTGAGGCGGAGGGGAGGGGAGAGGAGCCAGGGGGAGGAGTCTGAGCTTAAGATGGGGAGGCAGGGGGAGGCCAGAGCCAGGTGGGGGAGGAGAGATGCTGGGGAGACCGGGAGGGCGAGAGGAATACAAAGAATGAGGTGCAGGGGTGAGAGCTAGGGCGGGGGTGGGGGGTGGGGGGGTGCCGAGGAGGGAATACACCCGGCATGGGAGACCTATTCCAGGGTTGATGAGAGATGGCCAGGAGGAGAAGCAGAGGAGGACGAAAGGAGGGGAACAGAAACAGACAGGGAGCCAGCCGAAGAGCGAGCGAAAAGAGGGTTGTGATGGGAGGGAGAAAGCTCTGCGGAGAAAGGGCAGGCATGGGAATAGAAATCCAGGCAGGGAGAGCCCAGACTGAGACAGGAGGCCCGGAAGTGGTGTTTGTGGGGACCCTGGGGAGAGACATGAACCTGCCAGCTGCTTGGCCCGAAGCCAGGAAGCATTTGAGCTTGGATACCTCTGTCCATTCATCTCAAACTCCTCTTCAAGGCTGACCCCACCCTCTCACAGTTTTAGAGGTGGCTTGTAATGGGGCCCTCTCAGGAAGCCGGGCTATACTAATAAGCACAACCCTCTCTGCCTTCACCACCTGTTTCTGTCTGTCTGTCCCTCTGAAGGGAGTGTCGGTGTTTTAATAGGGGGATTGAGTTTGAGGAGACCATCAAGATCTTGGGGCTCTGGAGTCTTCTATTTTGCAACATAGAAACAATGATGCATAGGTTTGCTGGAGCAGGCGGGCCCTTGCTGTGGCTCCTTCAGCCTACAACCCTCTCCCTGTCCACTCACCAGAGTGACGGCATCGTTAGACCACACTGGCTCTGGCAGTCTCGGGGCACAGGCTGTTTCCCCTCCCTCCTCAGCTTCCTCAGGCCGCCTCCGGTCCCATGCCTGCCCTTAAGCGTTTCAGGGAAGGAGGTACTGTCCAATCATACACAACAGTGTGACCAACCAAGTCTACTCAATTGCTTCCCCCCCCCCCCCGTCCCTGCTGCCCCACCCTCAGCCCCACACCTTACTTAAAGAGAACTAAAGCCCAGGAGCGGAAGTCACTCACCAGGGGCCACGCAGCGGAGGTGGCAGAGCTAGAATTGGAACACTAGACTTTAGATTTTTATCTTGCTTCGTGCTGGGCATTGAATCCTGGATCTTCGATAAAGCATGTGCTCTATCACTGGACTCATAGGAACCCTTCAGTTCCTCCCAGGAGTCTGTGCTCCAGGGCATCCCCTAAAGTCAAGGGTTACTTTGGGTAAAATAAAAAGTGTGAAGATTGGAATAAATAAGGATTTCTCTTGCATTGTGTTTTTCTTATATATTTTGTGGTGTGTGTGTGTGTGTGTGTGTGTGTGTGTAAGAGAGAGAGAGAGAGAGAGAGAGAGAGAGAGAGGAGATCAGAGGACAACTTCTTCAGAAGTCATTGTCTTCTGTCTTGTTGAGACAGTTCTTGTTCTGATGTGTGTGGTATGCGCCAGGCTGGCTGGCCAGAGCCTTCAATGGATTTTCCTGCCTCTACCTCCCATTTCCCCTTAGGAGCGGTAGGTTTGTCGATGAGGACCACTGCATCTGTTTTTTGTTGTTTTTTTTTTTTTCCCCTTTTGACACAGAGTTTCTCTGTATAGCTTTGGAGCCTGTCCTGGAACTCACTCTGTAGCCCAGGCTGGCCTCAAACTCACAGAGATCCGCCTGCCTCTGCCTCCCGAGTGCTGGGATTAAAGGCGTGCACCACCACTGCCTGGCTCTGGTTTTTTACCTTGGTTCCTCAGATTGAACTCAAGTTGTAGCTTTTGTGGCAAGCTGTTGAGCCATATCCCTAGTTCACATTGTGTTTTTCTAAAAATCTAAGCCTCAAGGAAGGGACAACTCTTTTATATATATATTGAGACAGGGTCTCACTATGTAGCCCAGGCCCATGGCATTCATCATTCCCAGCTTCAGGCTCCTGAGTGCCGGGATTACATGCAGTGCCACATACCCAGTAGGGACCACATCTTTAAAGCACCTTGGAGAACAAAATAGGGCAGTGTCAGGGACTGGGGATGTGTAGCTTAGTGGTAGAGCTTGTGCCTAGCATGTGCAAGGCCCCGAGTTCATTCTCAGCACCCAAACCTAACAACAACAACAAGAAAAGCCAGGGCAGCTGTAAGTCCATTTGACCCATGATAGTCAGTGGGGAGTTCGTTGGTTCGTTCGTTCGTTCGTTCGTTCGTTCGTTCGTTCGTTCGTTCGTTCGTTCGTTCGTTTCTCATTGAGCATCTACATATTGACCTTCTATTAGGAGGCATCTGTCCAGGAGCTAGAGATCCGGCGGCGGTATTTGCTGTAGATCTTCTCAGTCAGTAGGAGAAACAACCGATGAACATGTCTGGTCTAGTGAGGGCCATGGCAGGTTCAGACGGTGGGAACAGGGCATGCAGACGGAACTTAGTTTAGGCTGTCTCCCCCAGAAAAGAGGAATTTAGGATAGATCCAATACCAGGGGGTTCTGAGGCAGGCACAGGTGCACCGTGTACACTAGATTTTCAGTTGCTCTTTCTCCACAGTGTCTTATTCCAAAGGTTCCCCCTCTCCTTAAGAAAAGGGGGAAATAAGAGAAGAACACACACACACACACACACACACACACACACACACACACCTTGTTGTTAATTTTTAGTTTTTAAATTTTTATTATTTTATGTGTATGAGTGCACCATGTGCTTATGGAGGCCAGAAGAGGGCATTGGATTGGATCCCCTGGCAGCAGAGTAACAGACAGTTGTGAGCTGCCGTGTGGGTGCTGGGCATCAAACCGGGATCCTCTGGAAGAGCAACCAGTGCTCTTAACTGCTGAGCCATCTCTCCGCCCTTGTTTATTTATCACAGTGCTAGTGACCAAATCCATCCTCTCCCCTTCTCTTCCCTCCTCTCCCTCCTTCCCGCTTTTGTGAAACAGGGTCTCACTCTGAAGCCCAGACTGGCCTCAGATATGGGGCTCACCCTTTATTTGCTTAGCCTCTCAAATGCCGGATTAAAGACACATTCCTTCAGGTCTTGTTTTTGTTTTAAATTTATGTTTATTTTTTTGACTGGGTTTTACTCTGTAACCCAGGCTGTCCTTGAACTACTGGTCCTCCTGCTGCGGCGTCTGGAGACCCCACCCGTTCCCTTTCCTGCCGGAGAAAGGGTGTCAGGGGTGAGTAGAAGGTGGGAACAATGCCTTGTGGACAGGGTAACTGCAAACGTATTCTGAGGTGCAAATTAAGGTGCAGCGTTTGGTGAAGTCCCGAGAAAATCTTGGAAGGTATACCCTGAAATGTATGGGACACACAGTCCCAGCCCTCATATTTCCCTGAGGGAGCTAGCCTTCTGGCTTGTCCCTAATGGTGATTACAGTCCCTCTTTCACTTGTTATTGTTTTTCCAGAGAGTGAACTGGTTGGTTTTGTCACAGTTTACAAACGTAAAAGTGTCATGGAGAAAGGAACTGGTGTCAGCCGAAGCCAGGTTCTGTGCTCGGCACTCCGCCTGCATTAGCTCATCCAATCCTAACACCAACGGTAACTGAGCAGTCTAGGCTGGGAGCCAGAGCTGGGCTTCCTAAACAGACAAAGCCAAGCACTTTACCTGGTGTTTCTGAGCTACAGCTGGCCTGTCTCTAAAATGGGAATATCACAGCTTAGCGAGGGCTGGAATGACCGTATAGGAACAGTATGTATGATAATATATGGAGATGAAACCATTTGGTGTGGCGCCCTCCCAGGGCATGTTAAATGCCCAGCAAATGGTGGCTTGAAAACTAACTTGGCATCGTTTCATTTTTATAGGTACTGAATCTGGTTCTAGAAGTTATTTAATGTGTAACAGCCCTTGGAACTTAGTATAAGTCAGATTCCCAAGTTAGTGCGTGTGTTTCTCGTTGCTAAGACAAAGGACCCGAACCAAAGCAGCGCAGAGCGGGAAGGGCTTCTTCCGCCTCCCAGTGCGAGTCCATCACAGCGGGGGAAGGCACACCCGCAGGAGGCTGGTAATTCCTCTCTGGGGCTAGCCGGGAAGTAGAGAAAAGGGCTGACCGAAGCTGCCCAGGTCACTTCCTCCCTTTTATTCACTCTAAGACACCAGCCTGTGGAGGTGGTGCCACCCGAATTCAGAGTTACCCGCCTCTGGAAGAGCCCTCGTGGACACACCCGGAGGCGTGTTTCCATGGTGAGTCTAAACCCCGTCAAGTTGACAAAATCATCTGGGATTTAGCTAGTGCCTTTGGGGAAAGCAAGACCTCCACTGCCGAATTATGAAAATCAAGCACAGTATCAAGACGATAAGAGCTCATGTCGTCTCCTTGTATAACAAGCACCTTAATGTATTTTCTTTTGAGATTCTATTTATTTTTATTTCATGTGTGTGAATGTCTGCCGAATGCGTCTGTGCGCCAGGTGCATGCAGTATCCAAACAGGCCAGAAGAGGGCATTGTATTCCTTGCAACTGGAGTTACAAACGGCTCTGTGCTGGGAACTAACCCAGGGCTTCTGGAGAGCAGCCCGTGCTCTTCTTAACTGCTGAGCCCCCTTTCAGTGTGTTTGAAAAGTGTGTTGTGTTATATCTATAATCTTGGACCATATTTGTTCATTTGTCTTTACATTACAAACATTTTTTTTCCTGTCATTAAAATATCCTTGAATCTTAAATGGCTGCCAATCTGTGATTGTCTGGGTGTGCTACAGCTTGCTGACCTATCCCAGCAGAGCATTTTTATGCTATTTGCATCTTTCTCGCTTCCTCCCTCCCTCTCTCTCTCCCTCCCTCCCTCCTTCCCTCCCTCCCTTTCTTTGTGGCTTTTTGAGAAAGGATCTCACTATGTAACTCTGGCTGTCCTGGAACTCACTCTGTAGCCCAGGCTGTCCTTGAACTCACAAAGATCCACCTGCCTCTGCCTTCCGGATGCTGGGATCAAAGGTGTGAGCTGCCATATCTGGCTCCGTATTCATTTTTAATAGCAGAAAGGTGTAAATATGAGCTGGGTGTGGTGGCGCACACCTTCAATCCCAGCATCCGGGAGGCAGAGGCAGGTGGATTTTTGTGAGTGCAAGGCCAGCCTGGTCTACTACTAAGTTCCAGGACAGTCAGGACTACATAGAGACTGTTTGAAAAATAAACAACAAAACCCAAAAAACCCCACCACCAACACAATAAACAAAAAACCCAAAGTTAATGTTTGTATAGAAATCTCTCCATTTCTGACACTTTCTTTAAACATTTTGCCACGGAAATTAAAACAATCAATTTTATTTATTATTGTGTATATGTGAATGCGTATGTTATGGCATCCATGGAGGTTAGAGTTGATTTTGTCTTTCCACTGTAGGTTTGGGGCTCAAACTCCACTCCTGAGGCTTGTGTGGCAGAAACTTTCACCTGCTGAGCCTTCTCACAGGTTCCATCATGGCGAATTTCAAACATGTGCCAGGGAAGACGAAATGAATGAAAGATCTTCCATGCATGCCCCCACCCCACACTCCCCGGCATCAACAATTACTTTGTCCAAGCAATTACTCTTGCCTAATTTTGTTTTGTCGTCTCTGATTTCAAATTTCAGACATAGGTTACTCTGGTCTGTTGATTGTTTTGTTATTTTTGAAGCAGGTTTTCTTCCTTTGTACCTCATACTGGTCTTGGCTGGTGTGGCTCTGGCCTCAGCTTCCTAAATAGTGAGGTGCATGTATAAACCCCCAGGCCCCACTTTGAAATAGAAACCCCTCCCCTACCCACTGCAGATGGAACCCCAAACCATGCGCAAACCAGGCCAGTGCCCTACCACTGAGATACCGCTCTAGCTTGAAGACACATTCTTAATTGTGCAGTTACTGAATTCTGGGCTAGAAATACTTTTTAAAGAATTTGGCTTTATTTGGCCAGGAATACTTCTAGAAAGGTTGTGTGAATTTTCGCCCTCAGCAACTGTGTATGAGAGGGCCGGTCTGGTTTTATTTCACCCTGTCCTGTATTGACTGTGTATTGTAACACCCATATGCACATGTACATACATTTACATGCTTGGAATGTCAAAAGTGCTTTCTTTACACACACACACACACTTTTTTTTTTTTTTTTTTTGATTGCCAGGCTTCTACTGAGAAGGTGTCTAATGAATACAGTGAGGTAGCCTCTCCTGAAGAGGCCACAGGAAACATGTCACTCTTAGGGGTCCCAGCTGGGGGTATGGGGGTGCGTGAGGGTCTTTTCTCCAGCTGTTCTTGAACCAGGTAGGTGTGGTTCTTAGCTCAGGGAAGAGCTGGGAAGTCTCCTGCCTCACCTAAAGGGCAGCCGCCAGGGGTCAGGATGGGGCTAGAGATCCTGCTGCTGGGAAGGAAGGTGTGGCCGGCAGCCAGACACTGCATTTCCTCTGTCTGGCCACTGCTGGCTGTGACATGGCTGGCTAAAACTCTGCTTCCCAGATCATGATTCCAGAATGTTCTGCAAAGATGTCCTTCTCTGATTGTACTGGTTTTTCTCAGCTTGCTGAAAAGGGAGCTTCTGAGAAGCCCACATCCATACTACGGGTGTGCCCTTCAGAGCGATTCTTTCTAACCCTTGTGGTTAAAATCTGTATTAAACATCTTTAATAAACCAGACTCTTTTTGTTGGGGGGGGGGGGAGAAAAGGGCAATGGCCTGCAGAAACCACCCTGCCAGGAGAACTGCATTTTGCTTTCTCTGTGTACATGTCTGTGAGACTGAGCTCACTGTAGAGCAGACATTTTTAACTTGACATCCCTGAGCTGAGGGAGCTAAGGACGGTTCTTACCAACCCCTCCAATTTTTGTGAATGGTGCATGCATATAGTGTTCCTCTCTAGGGAGAAAGCAATAGCTTTTATGAGATTCGTGCCTCAGGCAGCCCAGTATTTTCTGATACCCATCCTCCTCCCAAGCCTCTTGGCTTCCTTTGGCGATTGGGAAGTGAATAGGGGTCTGGAACACAGTGTTCTTTGGTGGCTGGGCTAAGGGCTGGACTCTTCTCACCATCCAAGCAAGCTAAGAAAGAGCCTGGATTTTCCCTGGGATGGGATGGAGTGAGGAAGGGCCATCAATGCGGGATGCTAGGATGGATTTGGATACTTACCCAGGTACCCATGTGTCAAGGCAAATGTACCCATATATTAAATGGCTGCTGTGGGTAGCAGAGGATCAGGGAAAGAAGGCTGATCCCAGGCCATAGTCTTGGAGCCTGTACCTTTGAGCCCTGAGTGATGGGCAAAGGGCCAGAGGCAGCAGTCAGCGAGGCTCCTCACTGCCAGGACACAGCTTTAAAGCCCGCTCCACTGTAACTCCATTTTAGTCTTTCGCTCAGCTCAAGCATGGGTGGGAGGTGGCATCGGTTGTCACAATACAAGTTTGCTCTGTGGAAGAAAGAGGATCTGGGGAACTAGAGAGCCTGAAGGTCAAGACCAGGGTTCGGCATATCAAAAACGAAGAGATAATCCCAAACACTGCAAATTCCAATAGGAGTGGTTCATTTTATTTCCTAATAGTGGCTTGTATTTGTAAATAGAGAAAGATACAGTGAATTGTGATCATTATCCAAATCTGTTTGGCAGCTGCATGAAGAGGAGGAGGCGGCGGCCAGAAGAGAACTGGTGTTAAAACCGCAGTTATACAAGGCACCCGTCATGGTGCCCGCCATGGTGCCCGCCATGTTAGCCTGGCAGCCAGAGTTCCGATATAAAGGTTGAAGGAGTGACTTGATGTTACAGGGTTGTCCTCTGACCTCCACACATGGACCACTGCATACACACCCCACCCCCATCATGTACACACAATAGTAATAGCATACAACTAAAAAAAAAAAAACCCTAAAAACTACAGATATACAGCTATAAATGCCAGGAAATCAGCCTCAGACTTCGGATTCCAGTTTCCCATGTTTCCTTGGGACGTGCAGTTCATTATCTTCTTTCCCGGGGGTGGGGAGGGGGGAGGAGGGAGAAATTTCACCTTTTGTAGCAGCAACAGCAGCTCCTCACAGAGTTTCCCTTGTTAAATAGAAAATAAGCAGGTGTTAAGACTGATTGCCATCGTGTTGACTTGTCGATGAAAATAGAAAAACTGGGGGGAAAGTGACATTTTCGAAGAAAAATGGGAGCAACTGTTTGAAGTGATATGCCAAGAATAAATGCAGTACTAGTACGGTGTCACATGCCTGTTTTCCCGGCACTGAGGGGGTGGAGGCGAGAGGAACAGGAAGTCAAGAGCGGCCTCCACTACACACGAGTTTGAGGTCAGGGAGCTACAGGAGACCCTGTCCCAAACAAGCCAACCCCAAACCGGGAGAACCTCTTTCTAGGTAAGGAAGCTTCTCCTTCTGCCCCAGGGGTCAATAGGTGTCCCCTCCCTCCCCTCCCTTTGCCCCTGTGGGATGCCTCCTTCCGGACACAGCAATGGTAGACTCCCTTCCCACGGCTCACACACCAAGTCCTCCTGTGTAAGGCTGCCCTTGGCCTGGATTTGCCTCTGAACGAGACTAAGGATGCTCACGTAACCAGGTCAGCCCTGTCCTCCCACTTGAAAAATGAAATCTTGGCATAAGCGCATGGAACCTTCCATCCAACTTCCCAGCATCCCCGCCAGAGGTTCTGATGCAGGATGAGAGTGGGAAATAAGAAGGTTGAGGTCCCTCTTCCTCTTTAGGGAGGACTGAGGAGCCAGAATCCCCCACTGGTCCATTCCATGGGAGATATGAGAAGGCTTCCCACTTGGCAGCTCTGGCTTCACGCAGCAGGCTGCTCCGCAGGTGGAGGAGAGGGGTCTCCAATGGGCCAGAAATGCCTGCTGCCGGGAGAAAGTATACTTCGTGTCTCCAGGTCAGTACTGTGGGTGCCAGAGACTCTTCATCCCTGACAAGTTCCTATTAGAGGCTGCCGCTGCAGGACCAGGGACTGAGGGCTGAGTCATGTCCACAGAGGAGTTTCTTTGTCTCGAAAGCCCATGGTGAAGCCACTGCACACACACAGCCGTATTACGGACTTGCCTGTGGAGATTCCCCCAAACCTCGCCTTGGGTGGCAGCCAGCTTCTCTCCTGGCTCTAATCATACCCTTAGCTTTCTCTTCACTAATAGACCTGTGTTGTTCATTCACCACCAACCTTAGGACTTTGCTGCAGCAGCTGGACAGGCAAGATGCTCTCTCACCTAGTTGGGAATGTCTTCCGAAGGACACACCATGGTATTCTCTCCTCAGCTCCGGATTCTGGGTGCTTCCCTGGTCCCAAGCAGTAGCTAGGAAGAAACTGCAGCGGTACTTTGTGAGCATGGCTTGAAGATGATGGGGCTGCCAGCCTGACTGTGTTCTTGCCTCTCTGTTGCATCTGTAGAAACAACTTTCATGCTCTACAGCCATGGTTCTCATCCTTCCTAGTGTGGCGACCCTTTAATACAGCTCCTCATGTGGTGGGGACCCCAAACATAAAGTTATTTTCACAGCTACTTCATAGCTGTAACTTTGCTACTGCTATGGATTGTAATGTGGCTCTCTTTGTTTTCAGATGGTCTTAGGTGACCCCTGTGAAAGGACCATTCAACCCCCAAAGGGGTTGCGACTCACAGGTTGAGAACCACTGCTCTAGACCATGTGTGACTGAGGAAATGACGTAGGGTTCCTCATGTCATTGGCCAGACTTCTGTTTTTGCTGACCTCCTGCCCACACTTTGCCAGCTCTCTTCCTACCTGACCAATATCCTGCACGTGCTGATCTTCCGATTATGTTCAGAGTGACCTTGGGTGTCTATCCCTTTGGGGTATGCATGTATCGGGCATCTCCATCCTGTCCCTGAAGATGGGCTTCTCTTCAACCACCATGGGATCTTCTTGCTGGCAAGCCACAGGAAAAAAAGAACACAATGCAGTAACATTTTGTGCCAATCCCAGCACCTCCCCAGACAAACTCTTCCTCAGGCCGAGGCCGAGGAGATAGTGTGGCCCTGTTCTCCAGTGGTCAGCAAACACAGTAAGAGCCAAGGCTACGGCTCTTGTTCCACACGCAGCGGCGCTGGTGCCGAGTGAGGCTCCCACTGAGAAAGGGTACTGTTTCATCTTTAATAAATTCAGCATTAGATTAAGCACATTGGAAAGCCAAGTGACTCATTTCTATTTCTGGCCTTCAGACATCGATGGCAGCGGTGACCTCAGACTGTGGCCAGGAAGGAGTTCTGGAGAGTTGGCGACAGTGGAATGATTCCCTCCTCAGGAGACTCCTGGATGATTTCATTAGTTATCATTATTGGTACTTTCACAATTAAAATTTTTTCCCCTTTATTTCTGTTTTATGTGTATGGGTGTTTTGCCTGCACGCATGTCTGTGCACCATGTGCCTCTGGAGCCCAGAAGAAGGTATTGGATCCCCGGGCACTGGAGTTACGGACAGTTGTGAGCCGCCATGTGGGTGCTGGGAACCAGACTTTGGTCCTCTGGAAGAGCAGCCGGTGCTCTTAGCTGCTGAACCAGCTTCCCAGTCTTCTTATTAGCATTTTTGAGGTAGGGTTTCAGGGGCCCAAGTTGTCCTCAAATTCGATCTGTAGCTGAGGATGACTCTGAACTTCCTGCCTCCACCCCACAGGTGCTGGGGTGATAGATGTTGCCATCACACACGGTACCAGGGATTGAATCCATGGTTTGTATGTTCTAGCCAAGCGTTCTACCAGCAGAGCCACACCCCCCCGCCCCCCCGCCCCCCAAAACAACTTTAGAAGAAGTTTGGACAGGGTTCACGTTGAGCCATGATGACACAGGAGCCCCCCCCCCTCCCCGCCCCCTTGCCTTCGGTTCTGGGCTTTTGTCAGTGTGAACTTACACTTGAACTTTGGTTACATCTTCACCACTTTGTTACATCTTCACCAGTTTCTGGGTCACCCTCCAAGCAGAGGTAGCCCTCCCCCCTCTAGATGCCTGTGGTCCAGCTGCTGCCGGGGAGTTGCCTGGACTTCATCCAATGTTGCCTGTGGTCGTGCACTTCCATCCCATCCTTCCCCGCTGAAAGGTGGGACCCGAGCAGGTGCCGTCACGATGACTACAGACCTAAAGGCTGTCACGTGACCCTGCAGGACCCCCTCCCCAGGCCCCTCTGTACTGCCAGAGTCTAGGCACTCGAAGGTGAGTTTTTTGAATTGGTTCTGAAATTCAAAGCTCAGTCTGTTTCAGCCAAATGACCTCACAAAGAGAAGGGATACAGGCACGGAGAGGAGAGCTGAGCATCATTCCTGGAACTAGGCTCCATCCAACACAAGGAGTGGGCCAGAGTCGGGGGAAATGGTGGGAGCTGGTCAAAGAGGCCCAGAGACGAGCCTCTAACAGATGAAGACTAAGGCTCTCCAGAGTCTATCTGGGCCAGATCCAACCTCTCTTGGGACAACTCTCACGCCAATTAAATACTAATCTCATGTGGTAGTAAGGAAGCAGGTACCAAAGCAGGGGACCCGGGGCACCCGAAGCAGGCGGAAGCAAGAACAACCTCATCGGTTGTTAGGCAAGCAACCCATCTTCATGTTACAGCTGTCTTTATACACAACTTTGGAGTTAAGCCTGAGTTTAACGACAGGTTTCCTCACTAGGGTCTCTTGTAAGCTACAGGACATTCTTCCCAGTACCTGTGAGCAGGCTTAGGTCAGACAGGCTCAGCCAGACTGTAGCAAGTTTGAAGCTGTATAACCTCGCCAAGACTCAGTTTTCTTATCCTTTAAAATGGGTATAATCTTACTTCACTGATAACTGAGAGAATCACATGATATGTGTGTGTGTATGTGTGTGTGTGTGTGTGTGTGTGTGTGTGTGTGTGTGTGTGTGAGAGAGAGAGAGAGAGAGAGAGAGAGAGAGAGAGAGAGA